CAGTGGTAACAGGCATTTTGGGTTTTATTTGTGATCAGGTAAAAAGATACATCAAAATCCCTAATATCCCCTAAAAGCAAATCTGAAAAATCCTTATTTGCTTCTGCAGGTAACTATTCATAGTCATTTCTCTTCTTGTGCATAGGAATGCTTTCAGTTTATACTGCCAGCCCTACCTCATGCCATTGATCTTTTGCGGGATGCCATTGTAAAAGTAAAGGAGGTACACGATGAGCTAGAAGATCTACCTTCACCACCACCTCCTCTTTCTCCTCCTCCAACCACCAGCCCTCACAAGCAGACAGAGGACAAGGGAGTACAGTGTGAGGAAGAGGAGGAAGAGAAGAAGGATAGTGGAGTTGCATCAACAGAGGACAGTTCCTCTTCACATATAACTGCAGCAGCCATTGCAGCTAAGGTGAGTCTGGCTTGTTTCCAAGAGACTCTTAAGCTTTGCTCAGGTACTTTCCACCAATATTCATTTGCACATTAGGACTAAATGTCTATGTTGGTGTGCTCAAACATTATTTTGGATACATTTCATAGAAATTTGGCTTTGTAAGAATATATGAATGGTTCAGTATATGATCATCAGATTTCATTGGAAGATGCACTGTTTATTATTTTGACTATAAGTTGCATTTTAATGATACCATTCTGATGTGACAGAATATGTTTAGTGTTAGGTTTAAAAAAAAACAGCAATCAGAAATACTTACTCCTGAATGTGCAGTGTCTAGTGAGTGACATATTAGGGAGGCACAGCAAGATTCACTAAATCATGTTTTCCATTTTGTAAATACAGTATTGGTTTTTAAAAACATAAAAAGTATGACAGTTATGTAGCAGGTTAAGTCATAAGCTGTCCAAATTAAATGTCATCATGTTGTCTTTAGAACCTCAATGTAACTACTAATTATAGATCAATATTACTTCAGCAATACTCACACCAAAATTATGAATTGGAGACTACAAAAGGAAAAAGGATAACACCCATTTATTCCAAATTAATTTGCTCTATATTTACTCACTGCACATTTAATTCCAACTATGGGAACTGAAACTGTAAGTAACTCAAAATGCTCACTTCTAAACCAAAGTGGCAACATTATAACTCCAGAAGTGTGAATTCAGGTCTGATTCCTAAGACAGCTACAGGTGGAGGTCCATCATTTTATAGAAAATCCTAATTGTATAAGTCTTTAAAGGGCTGAATTAAGGTAGTTATCAAATGCAACTCAGCTTTTATTCACGTAATTTTTAAATTCATCATTTTCTTTTAATATAGACAAAGAAAAATAATTTTAAAGACAGAAATTATCTGACATCTAAACTGGCTGTGTTCATGTGTGCTTGACATTTCAGCATCACAGTTGTTTTCACCTCATTGCCTTTCAGTCATTTGCTTGTTTGGTCTCATATTTTCCTGTCACTGTATTCATAGCTGTTATGTGTTGTGCATTAGAAACATCCATCCTACACCAGTTCAGCAGTTATTATGGCAAAAGGTGAACAGTCCATTCCTGGTCTCATCAGTTATTGCCATCATGCAGCAGGCAGTGCAGAAGAACCGGTAAGATGCACTTCCCAGAGGCTTTTGCACTAACAGTAGTTAAAAATACACTGCCTGCCACCTATTCTAACAGTGTTACTTTTTTTTATTCTAACAAATACATATCAGTGCTATCTGTCTTTTAAAGAACATGCTACAGGGAACATTCTGCTTAAGATACAAAGCTAAACAGGAGAAATATGATGTGCTTTTCTGTCAGTTGGAATTGTTTGGCTGCTGAGATAAAAGTTGCTGTAAAGTCTGTGTTTCTGATTAGTCATCAACTTTATCATCTAATAGACTGAATTACTAAATATAATTAAAAGAATCTCCTAAAATCACTGCCTTAGAGCTTTTTTACTATCATTTAACTTGCTTTGCTTCTTTCTCTCAAAAGCTTGTTTGTCAACATAGTACGAGATTGGCACTGGACATTTGTCAAATGTTTTCATTGCTTAGTTTCTATTTTATTATTGTGTTTTGTTTAGAAGTAGAATTTTTCAAAAACAGTAAAAAACTGGAGTCAGGTACAGTAGATTCATAAATTATAAATTTCTGGATTTTTGTGAATAGTAGGCAGCTACTTCAATAAGTGGTAGGAATCACTACAAAGGTTGAATCTAAACGTGAATCAAGATAGAGTAATGGCTCCTAGTATCATTAGGGATTAATTATAATTTACCATATTTATAATTAGAGGAATCTGAGGAAAGCAGTTGCCCTAGCAGTTGTCCCATCCAATCCATTCTACCATCCACCCTATCTGCCAGCAAAATAAGTGTAAATTCTTCACATTAAATCATTAGTTCTGTTTACCAGAGTCTACACTTTCTCAATACTTAGGCAAATAGTAATTTAAATCACCAATCAAACAGTGCAGCACCTCTGTATATAAAACATGATGGCCATGTCTCTCGAAAAGTCATTTAGTAAATGTGAAGGCATTTAAACCAATCTAAAACTACTTTTGGAAAAGTATGATACAATGGTATCAGATGAAAATTTAAAATTAATGACTGAGAGACATAGCAAATATCTTTCTCTGTCCACCGTTTGTCATTCATTTCTTTTTCTATCAGTATATTACAAGTTTTTCCACTCCATCTAGCTATAAGCAGGAACCATTTTTACCCAAATTCAGTTTTATCATATCCCATTTAAAGAGTACTCCTATTTAGAGTTTTGAGACATCTATCCTTTATTAAATTTGTTTGAAAATGAATTGAAAATATTTAGGTAAAGATGACATAAACACTCAGAGCGTGACTTCATGAAAAAAACTAATATTTCATTATTATTATTATTTCTGCCTTTCATTTTTGCAGAAAATACAAAAATCTCTTGGGCTGATCAATCTCTTTAACAGCATTAATAAAATGCCATCTTTACTAGATATGCAGATTACCTAATTTTATTAAAAAATAACAAACTTGCTAAATGTCAGTAAAATTAAACATTCCCCATCTTACATAAGATGTATGCATAGAAATATAAGTTACATTTTGATATCCCTTTAATGAGCAATGTATGTGCATTATATTTTTTTATGTATTTATGTTGATGCAGTTTACGCTTTTGTATTGGTAACTGCAGTCAGCAGGTAATGGTGATTAAAGAGAATCTTTTTTAGCTAGACAACAAATTCTGCTGTCACAGTGGAGAAACAGATCTCCTGGGAGCCACATTTTTAACTGCGAGCTAACCTAAATCACTCATTAAGATTTTGAAATTGTGAAAGCTAGCAAGCTGGAACTTAACAGTTCTAGATGGGTTTATATAGAGTCTTATGACAAATTTTATTTTCAGCAAAGATAGTGATTAGGAAATAATCCCCATTGAAAAGTAATTCCTGTAATCATCTTTACTCTGTCTTTAGCTTCCTTTGCTGATTAATGTCCTACCTGATATTTCAGCTGAAGTTTGATTTTTCTGCAGGCAAAAAATTAGTATTGCATGTGCATTTCAATGGAGACTGGAAAAGTCTCATATAACTTTTATTTCTTTTTATTCTTAAAAAGGTGATGCCAGATAAAATTCTGGCAGCTGAGATTGATGGATAAAAAAGCAGATCACTTGGTTGAAGGAAATGAGATAATGAGAGATATCCAATTATTCTAGAGCAACCAGAGTTAACTCCAGGGAGAAATGGATTGTGATATCATTTGTAATTTGTAATATTGTGTTTGTATTGTGGTATCCTGAAGCATGTGAAAGATGTAATAGGCCCATACCCAACTTATGCATCCCTTTATCAGAGAAGAGTTAAAAAAAAAAAAAAAAAAAGTGCTTTTTTTAAGATTTAAAACTATTCCTTCTTTTATGAATTTTCTTTGTTTTATAACTTTGTCAAAATTTAAGGTTTTGCTAAAACATTGAGATTAAAAGGAAGTATTAAAAGTTGTATATAGTGTTGGAGCTATGCCAATATAAAACTAAGAGTTGCCAACCTTTTTTGTATATTTAAGTTATTTCAAATAGAATTGCAGGAGAAGGAGAACAGAAAGGAGATTGTGCTTCTGAATACAATCTGTCTGATCAGAATACCGTAGTGCCTGCTTTCTCCTGCTTGTACTACATATCTAAGATCTTACTTGCAATTTAGACTACTGCAAGTTTAGGTCAGTTTGGTACTGTTTCTGAGCAGAAGCAATCCCAAGCATAACCTTCCATAGTGAAGAGAAACTGCTTTTTTTGTAATTTACAGTGAAAATTGCAGCACAAGTTACTAAGTACTGAAAGAACTTCTGAAGTAATTTTTAAAATACAACAGAAATTGACTGGCAAAAATACTGTCAGTCCAGAAATGCAACAGCAGGCAGCTGGTAGTAAACTGAGAAGAAAATCTGTTGCCATAAAACTTAAGTTGCAAACACAGGAAAGTCTAACATAGACTAACGGAGGAGAGTTTACATTCAGTACAATCCACAAGATACAAGCCAGTGTCTCTAAGGTTGCAAAATTAGATGCAGTTGTTATTCATAGATGTGAACCAAGGAAGCTAAGGAAACAAAAATGACATAAAAAAGTAGTATTTAATGACTTGAGCCTTAAGATTGGCCATTTCAACATCTTCTACTTCACTACAACCTGAAAAAGTATGAGGCATGAGTAATACATTTGTAGACAAATCATCTTTCATTAGATTTTAAATTATTGTAATATCAGTCCTATGGTGAGAGAAGACAATCTGTTTGCCAGTAAGTGTTACCAAGGTCTGAGCAAGGTCCTGAGTCGTATGTCAAAGATACTGTAACTTCCCAATTGGAACAGCTTTGGTATGTCACTTAGTATGCAAAATCAGCGGACCATTAAAAACATCCCATGCTTTTCCTAGGAGTACATGTCTATTTCATTCTACTCCTCTTTCAGTATCATCCCTGCTTTGTCTCCACAACTCAGTAATGTGAGATGACTTTGGGACAAGGAATCCTGGGAGGAAATATTTTCTTACAGCCTTAAAGCCATACTAGGCAGGAATGCTCAGAAATGCCTAGATGCAGGCTAGTTAAAGCATATCCACTTAAAAAAAGATTGCAGAGAATTCTAGCTGGATATGGTTAAAGTAAGTGGTTTGACTTGTCACATTTCTCATTTTCTTCTACTGCTCACTACTGCCATTTCCCCCAGTCGCATTTTAGGTGGTTCTTTTGGAACTTCAGTATCAAGCTAAACTAATAAATTCTTAATGAGTACAGAGATCATAAAATATGTGTCTATATACATACTCCTTAAAAAATCTGAATTTACAGTTATTCTTTTACATTTTCATCTATGTTGTGATGGAAAATTAAATTGCCAAAATAATCTGATGTTAGAAGTGCTACCTTTGAAAAAGAAATATGTTAAAATCTTGAAAATAAAATCAGAATAAAACTGTAGAGTGTTTAATAGCAGAATATATGCTGCATTTTGTGTGTAGAACAGCTCTCCTATTTGAGATAGTTATCATCTGTATGTCTTATCATTTTGTACAAAATAAATAAATAGAATCATGATGTCAGACTGGCAATTTAATCTATTATAAAGTTGGTGTGATATCTTCATGACTAGACCGAAATACCACAGTAATAAAAAAGCAAGGGACTTTCTAAGACTCAGTGTATGTTAAAGATTGACTCTTAATGCAGTCCTCTAGCTCTAGTCTTTGTGACGAATGTTAGAACAGAAAAGACAGAAGATTAAAAAAATACATTGATAGATTTATTCATATTCCTGAAAGTATTCTCATTGTTAGAAGTTGCTGTAACTTCATTTATTTAAGTGAGTTAATAATATCAGCTAGAGGATCTTAAAATCTTCCTCTTAGAAATATCTAGCTCTTAAGTATATTATGTGAAAACAAAGATTGAACTCTCTTCACAATGCATTTTAAACACAAGCATGGACTCTGTATGGAGTTTTCTAGTGCTTTTGCCTATAGTCTCTTCAGAGAGGCCTGCAGGTTTTTCAAATACAGATTTTACATCAAGAATTTGTGTACCTGAAATAAATTCTTCATTACATGGAACGAAGTGTATGAAGTGTCACTGTATGGCATTTTTTTTTATAACATTTATTTACTGCATGGTATTTCTTCAGAGGCTTTCAGTCATTGCTAATAATTGGTTTTCTGTTCAGAACAGATAAAAAATGAGATCCATCTGCGTCATGATAGAAGTCACTGCTGGTCATTGTTGGGCTTGGAAGAATTGGGTTTCAGGCTGAGGAAAAACAATCTTGTTACTTACTGTTACATCTTGTAGTATATCGTATGCAAAGGCTTTCAGGACAAATAATTTCTTCGGTGCTTCTACAGTTACGATATGATTTTGCTTATTTGTGGTGGGTTTGTTACTGAAGTTATAAGAACTTAATGTTACCGCTGCTAGCAATACGTATGAGGAAATGTGCAAACTGAGGACTGGCGTGTTCCAAAAAATTTTTTTATGTAACAGTACATTATACTTTTTTCAATAAAGTATATTATTGACTCTTAATTCCATCTCTCTTCTTTTAAGATTCCAGATTCCATCATTTCTCGTGGTGTTCAGGTGCTCCCACGTGATACAGCCTCCCTCAGCACTACCCCTTCAGAATCTCCTCGTGCCCAGGCCACCTCTCGTCTCTCCACTGCATCCTGCCCAACACCAAAAGTAAGTACCTTGCAAGTTCCATGCTCAGACATATGATCTATCAGATTAATGTATTGCCTCTGCTAAGAGAGGTTGGTTTGCATGCAAGGGATATATCATTCTCAGTAATAGATAAATCCAAGACAGTACTTTATTCCATGTGCACTTCTGCACGATTTAATATGTGGGTCTACAAACGTGTTACGATTACTGAAGTTTCATGTTAGCTCCTGCGATATCAGTCATGAATATGAAATCATTAATGCCTTGAATGTGTTTCATATCCCCAGGAACATAGATAATCCTGCCACTGAGTAGCAACATTAAATAAGTAGTATTATGTTGACAAAATGTGTGTGCAAATTTTTAGCCTGAGCTGGGGCAGTTCTCTGCCCTGCTCTATTATTGATCAGTTTAACACAATTTCAAACCAACTAATTTTGCTCAACCTTAGATATTTGCTGCCTGACACTTGGAAACAAAAAAACCCAGACTAAATCTAATAGTAAGAAAGTTTTAATGCCAACCTTGTGGGATTATTGTTCACTTCTTACTGATTATACTATGTCATTTAATTGTTAAAGTGAACTCTATTATCTTTTGAAAAACCTTAAGTTGCATACATCAAGGACAAAGTGAATTAACCAGTGGCAAGGCCTGTAATGTCCACCTGCAGTAGGATTATTTTCAGCAGAAGAAAGCTCTGCCAGAATTCGCTTCATGTCTTTGTGTCACAGTGATCTTTTTTGTGGTACCAGATGCAGACATACTAATAAACTCATAGCAGATGGTGAACAATAACATTCTTCCTTGTCTAATTTGTGATCCTTGAAGACTATTCTGCTTGCTAAAATGATTTGCCAGCATCTGCTAATTCTTCTTCCTGCTGTCTCATTCTTTTCTGTTAGCGAACAAGATTTATAGGCAACCACCCATAGAAATGTTTTGGTTTAGTCTGTAGGAGAGTTTTATGCAATACTCACCTTCACTGTAACAGAGTCAAAATTCTGCTGATAGACAACATACTAAGCTTCACTATATTCTGCTTTTCTTAAGAAGATATTCAGTGAATTATATCTGCATGCAGTTCCTTCTTTTTTTTTTTTTTTTTTCCTAAAAAAGCTATCATTTGTCTGATGGCTAAAAATAGAAACTCAGAGCTTATTACATTAAAACTCTTGAGCAAGAGAGGAATACAAAACAGAGGAGCTGCTCTGAGTTTTACGCCTCTTGACAAAACAGAAAAGTCCGAAGAAAACTGAAGGAGACCAATAACAAGCATAGTGTAACATTGGTAATAGCTCCAGATTAAACCCCTGTGTTTTAAGGAAGGTATGGCTATGGAAAGGTGTGTACCTTATCAGTGGTGAAGCAGAATGCATTCTTCTAGACCTGGCATGTCCAACCTATGGCCTGCAGGCTGCATGTGGCCCAGGACAACTAATAATTAGCCCCACCATCCTGCTCTTCCCCACAGAGTGACCTGGCCCAGCCCCAGGCATGCACCCATCACTGAGCAACAAGCAAAACATCGGCCCAAGACAATTCCTCTTCACTGTGTGTGGCCCAGGCAAATCAAAAGGTTGAACATCCATGCTCTAGGCAGTCTTCAAAGGTTCAGACGCTACAGAAGGAAACTACATGAATTTTGAAACAAGAGTAGAAAGTCTAAAACTTTTCTTTGGGAAATTAGTTGAGATGAGCTCTTGTAATTGCATAACACTTCAGTGTTTTGTCTTAAGCCCCATTTTTCGTGTATTACTGCAAGATCAGGTTTTGTTCAAAATAGGAGAGACCATACCACTTTTAAAACAGGAATTGCCATGGGACATCTACCTAGTCTAGCTTTTCTTTAATGTCTTCCAGAAGTGGGTAGTACAAGCTGCTTTAAGGAAAAATTAAGGAAAACTCAACTGTTAACAGCAAGGAAATAAATGTGAAGAATAATCTCAACTTTTCCAATTACCGGAAGTTTGTATTTTGCACAGAAGCGTAAACTCATTTGCCAGTTAGAAAGCTCTTCGTTTTATGTATTTTGAAAAATGAAGACTCCAACTATTCTTGGTATCTTTTATCCAGTCTTTTTATTTACCCTCAAGTTCTCTGAATTTTTCTAGAAATACAGTTCATTCACATTCTTCAAGATTATCAATATGTCAAAGCATCTTCACTTGCTATGTTCTTTCTTCTGGATCCCAGCTTTCTAATAATGCAGTATAAGTAATTTATACAAAATCTCTTGGTCCACAGACTCACACAGTAGTGTGTATAAAAAGGAATTGTAACATAACATCTAGTTGATGTGCCAGCTTTTTTATTTCTTTGATCTGCAAGTGTGTACCTTATCCATATTCTGGTTGAGCATCTCACTTCAGGGCTCCTAAACATGTGTATTTGAACTGAAACAAAGAAGAGGAAGTTTCGTCAGGAAATAATTTAATTTTCTTTGATTATGGTTACTGTTTTGAGTGGTGCTCTAGCCAGAGAATTAGTGGCACTAGATTTCTTTGTGAAACATTCCAGTTTGTTTTGTTGCACCATTTTCTTGTTTTTTGTTTTGTTTTTTTTTTTTGTCCTAAATGTATGTAAATCCTTACATCTCTCTTACTGAATTTACTGAATAGCAGGAAAACAAAAAAAAAACAAAAAAAAACCCCAAAAACAAGCTTCTACAATGATGGGAGCACCTATATTGAATAAATGTAAGTAGCAGGTTACTAATGCATGAGTGTGTTTGAGACAAGGTATGAAAGAGTGCATTACTAATACTCCTGATTGATTTGTTATGAAAAGTCTTTACTTTTTCATAATTATGTTTTGGAACAAAATAATATTGTTTATGTGTACACACAGAGTATGTAGTCAGGCACAAAATAGAAGATTTAATTTTAGGCGTCTTTATTGTTTATACTTCATCTTCCATGTTCTCTGAAAGTCTGTGTGTAAGAAAGTAGTAACCAATGAAAACATTTTGAACCTGTATATTTCAGGTTCAAAATGTTTTCATTGTTTAATTTCCTGAATTAATTTTCATTGTTAAATTTCCTGAAAAAAGAAGGAATCAGAAAGGGATTGTGGGTGCCCGCTTCCTGGAGGGTGAGGTATTCAGGGCCAGTCTGGATGGGTCTGATGGGAGGTGTCTTTGCCCATGGTAAGGGGATTGGAAGGTGATGATCTCTATAGTCTCTTCCAACCCAAACCATTCTGTGATTCTGTATTTTTCACTATACATTCTTTGGAGGTTTTCAAGACAAATGTCCATTGGGACAACTCTATCTGTCATTATGTACATCCTCAAAACTAAGCAGACTTTCTTGTGTAAGCATTAATAAATCCCTGTAGAATGCCTTCCTTGTTCCATAAATGGTATTCAAGTTTTAAGCAAAATCCACTGTGGCTCAAAGAGCATTTAAAACGTATTTATAGTGGAAAGATTCAGATAGAGAGGCAATCTTAAGTTTTACTCTAGGGAAAACTGCGCTAACAGTCCTCACCTTTACAGTTATTAGTCCTAAGTATCGTAGTGATTGTGACATTTTTATGTTTAACAACGTAGTTTTGATCTTCTGAAAGTTTTAATGCTTTCTTAACAAGATCAAGTGAATTTGCAAAATATTTACATGACAAAAATATAAGATGACACATAATGGCTTGCAAGTTTTTTATATAATTTCCAATAGTTGCTTAGATTGTAAGATCTTCCTATATTTTTTTTACAGTTCAAGTTCAAGTTTTGCTTCTCCCATACATAATGGTGTTATCAGTATGTATTTTATTTTGCCAATACTGTATGTCAAAGTCAAATGAAGCAGATATAGAAGACCAAGGGCAAGATTTAAATTATCAGCAGGAGTACATTTCAGTGACAAGAGGTGTTCAAAGTGCTTCACTTTGCAAGATCGTCAGTCTAACTGATACTCAGTTCTTCCACTTCAATGTACAGAGTTTCTTTCAGTGTACCTTTGATCATGAAGAAGCCTAAGAAACTCATTATGGTACTTTTAAAAGTGGCGTCTTTTTCTATCTCACTACCTTGTACCTTACAATCATTATATTCTGCTTAAGAAAAATTGTCTTTTTTCTTTTCTTTACTTCGTGGATATCTGTCTTTCCCCTATCTATCATTTTTTATTTGAACTGAAACAGAAAAAGCCCTTATTGTTGTTAAGATATATGCTCACAAATTTGTAGTCATCATAGTGTTCTAGTTCCTACATGACTTTGTAGGAATCTGCAAGCTAAAATAAGGAATCAAGTCTTATTTTCAAAGTTGTTTTAGATATTAGCAAAATAGTTCTCTTGTCTATCTATTGCTCCATAAACATATTCTTCTTAGCACAATAGATTTAACTTTGCTAGTTAATCACTTTCTGTATCTCCTAATAAGAGTTGTTGTCATCATTCTTGTTTACCTTCACCTAAAGACCTGATATTCTTAATCTGAAAAATAGCATATCTTTAAATTTGTCTGTGTAAATGTTACAGTTGTAAAGAATTTCTGAAATAAAAGCATTCAGAAAAAAAAAAAAAAAAAAAAAAAAAAAAAAAAGATTTAAACATAGAAGAAGACAGAAGTCTTATTTCTAAGACAAAAGAAATGTATTTGGTTTTCACCTTGATCATCTCTCATGTTTGTGTCAACTAAAAAATGATGCTTTGAACACCTTTTGTCATGAGTTATAGCTTTAATGCTGAACCTAGTAGTTATTGGTTCCAGTTTTCAGTCAAATGAGCTAAAAATTAAAACTGACTGTAATGATTTATGATTTTGGTCTAGTGTCAGAACTTTTTAATATACAAGTGCCATGTGAAGTAGGGTTGGGAAGATAGTTTTCTATCAATTACTGCTTTTTCAATAGAAGAAAGATCAGGTTGCTTACCAGAAACTATTAATTAATGAGATGCTGTTCAGGATTTGCAAGCTGTAGTTTTATCCATAAGTTGGATATTTTGTGTAAATTAGATATAATAAGTTTTACTTTTCTTTTTATCTTGATGTATACTATTTCTTCTTAAAATGA